AAAAAAAATATCAAAATTCATTCTAGGGGGAGAGTTCTGAAAATTAACATCTCTGTATCATTTGAGTTTTTTTATTTGTAATCAAATGATCTTCTTATTTTAGGATTCCCATTCTGATTCCCCCTGCCCTGGTGAGGAATTGTTTTAAGTCTCATCTTAAGTTTTGGGATTAAACCAACTCCATTTGAATCGAACCCATTCTCTAATCATCTGTAAACCAACTCATCCCAAGTAATCATCCTCGTTCCAAACCAACAATTGTATCCCTTCTCATCCCAACCTACTCCGACACTCGGTATTCTCATCCCAAACCATAAGCCGATTCCCAATTTATTCCGTCTTATTATTCTACTTCCAATACAGATTCCTAATGAGCTGCGACCAAATGTATTATCCCGAAACTATTCCCAACCTACTTCAGACTCAATATTTTAATCCCAAAATCACCCCCAATTTACTCCGATCCGATATTTTCATCCCAACTCGACCTCCAACTTACTCCGACCCAAAATTTAAACCTACTCCCTATAATCGCAAACCTGATAAACTTCCAATTACTCCAACATAATACATTCATCTCCAAATCTAACCTAATCCAAACCGCAATCCACTATATCCAAACTCTATTATTCTACTCCCAGCTATCCCATGGAGCCAAATCAAATCCTAAACTGACCCTGCATAGACATGTTTCGCGGATTTGCAGCAGTTCCTGGACGAACTTGTTCTGATCTAACCTGGATTAATAAGGAAGAGTTTTCTACCTGCTAAATCATCAACCTGGATACTATTCAACCATAATTCTAAACCTACAGTTTAACATTATCCGTCTGATATTGTATAAAAAGTTGATTCAAAATGTTTGTATCCATTTCCCAAATTTAGCATATTTTTGTATTGACCTTACAAGCTTTATTAAATAGTGTTAATACCCTTCAACTGAGCACACCTTTTATTTTTATATATTAAAGAACACAAATCAACTATTTAATTTTATTATATAAAAAGGCACTGCTATTTTTCTCTCTCCTTAAATTATGGTAATTATCTAACTAGTCTATACATAGCTGTCAGGGTGAACGGAATGTCCCAGCCATTAATAGATGTCCGGTTAATTAACGACGTTAATTAACGACGTTTCCTGATAATTTCCGTGTAATAACAGGTATGTTCTGGCAATTTAAGGAATGGCCGGCCAATGAACGGAACTCACAGAAGTCTCTTTTTTTAGAGTATTGTTGTTAATTGTTAGAAACTTGACACTGTCCAAGGTTATATAATTAGGTTAGCTTTACGCTCCAATGTACGGAAAATGTCGTCTCCTAAGATGACGTCACTGATTTTAAAGGCGAGAGTGAGGTCATATGAGGAGACCTTATTTTCCGTACTTTGGAGCGCATCCATCGAGAGTAACCAACCTTATAATACAACCTTGCTGGACAGTCTCTTGATAAAAAAATTAAGAATTGTAAATTTTACTTCGTGAAAATCAAATCAGAAAGTTTTTTATCTAAAATTCATTCCCGGGTTGTAAAAATATGGTTTATGCAAACACACACGTAGATTCACTCAGTATGAGTTAGTTTTCTAAATCCATATTTTACTTGCGACACAAAATTGATATTTTTCGGGTTATTTTCCTAGTTTTTAATATTTTAACTATAACGAGTTTGTTCTGCACTTCAACTTTTTAAATTGAATTTTCAGAAATAAAAATCCTTGGGACTATTTACGATTGTGTTCTAATTTAATTAAAATCTAATAAATTTTTTATTTCGAATGAATTTTGGGATTTTATCTAGACTGTCCAAACATATTTCATTTTTTGGCAACCACTGCGATTTCTATATTTGTGTTCTTCTTTTCCAAGGGTTAAAAATCTTTTGTATTCTCAATTTGATCAGGTTGGCTTGCGCGAATCCTAGCAACTCCTTTCTGTGATTCTTCAATGCGCATTGCGCATGTGTATGCGTCATGCGCAGCACATTGGTTTAGGGCATTCAGTACGTATATTGTTTTTCGTCATCGGCGTGCGTGCAGGAAACTAAATGTGCCCATTTTGATGTTGCAACGCAAATAAAAAGAGGTGCAATTCAAAATTCACTAATGTGAATCTTTCCCATTGTGCACGCCATTGATTTTTATTTTTTATAGTACATTATCAAATTAAATCTGTAAATCCATTCCAGAATTTTAAATAATTATTGTTGGAAAAAATATTATTTATTTTTCATCTAGCATAATGATGTAACAATGTTGTAGAATTGTTTTACCGATCATAATGTTTCGTTATTCCATGTGTATTTTATAAATTAGAGTATTTTCATATATTTAAACCCGACTAAGATGCACATATTTTCGTCTATATCGAATATATTTAACCAAAACTTCTCTCAAGATTATCATTTTTTGCGTCTGATTTCACTCAAATTTTTACTAAAAAAATTAATTTTTTTCTGTTCAAAACAAACTAATAACAAATTTCATCCACAAGTTTGACAACTTTAATTTTTGATTCTTTTAACTGTCAAAATACAACAAAACTTCAATATTTAACTATTTTTAATGTTAAAATGTAAAAAATGGAGGTAAAAATGTCCCTTTTTAACTCCGCAGGATGAATATAAGTTTGCTCCATGTCCTAGATAGAATGGAGAGTAAGGACGAAGAGCTCCAGGAGGAGAGTATCCAGGGACATCTCCAGGATGAAATCATTAAGGAAGCGCTTTCCAGTGGTCTTGATCTAAGAGAATATTCAAAGAAGGTTTAGCTTAAACTTAAACTTAATCTTGGTTATTGGACTTGTGGACTTGAACTTAGATTTGGACCTGGACTTAGACTTGAGCTGATTTTAGACTTGGACCTGGACTTAGACTTGAGCTGATTTAAGGCTTGGACCTAGACTTAGACTTGAGCTGATTTATGATTTGGACCTTAACTTTGACTCGAGCTGATTCATGATTTTAACTTTGACTTGGAACTTAACTGACATGGATCTTAACTTTGACATGGAACTTAACTGACATAGCTTAACTTTGACATGGATCTTAACATTGACATGTATCTTAACTTTGACATGGAACTTAATTGACATGGATCTTAACTTTGACATGGATCTTAACTTTGACATGGATCTTAACTTTGACATGGATCTTAACTTTGACATGGATCTTAACTTTGACTTTGACTTGAACTTATACTTGAACGTTAACTTAGACTTGACTTTTGACTTTAAAAACTGGGTTCATGGTCTTTGAAGTGGACCTGGTATTTACCATGCATCTCTTGATAAGGTTGAGAAAGAGCTTGAAAGTGCCGAACATGCATCTATCGGAGACTATATCGCGGAAAGTGGAAACATTGCCGCGTTACACAATCAGATCTCCAGCTGTGACGGGATACTGGCGAGGATGGAGGGACTACTCACGGCCTTCCAGACCGACCTCGGCAGCATCAGCAACGAGATCCTCTCCCTTCAACAGCAGAGTGTAGAGATGAACCTCAGGTCTAATAAAGAATTCTAGAGAATAGATATCCAAAAGAATCTATAAAGTCATTTCAAAGCAAATTTTACGAACATCATATTCAAACATAGATAAAAGAGCAAACTTTTAACAAAAAGCCCGGGACTAAATTAAATCTAAAAAGACTTGAACCTTCTCGATAAAGAGAAAATTTCTGTCCAAAAACACTGCGAAAATTACAGTGTTATAAATACTATATGGTTGTTAATATTACAAACAAAATTGTGTTAGAGTCAAACAGTTCGGAAGTTTAAAAAAATCAAAAGAATAATTTTTTGCGAAAATATATGGATTAGTTTGAGGCAAGTTATTTTTGAATTGATTGATTTTAGATTGAAGAATAGGCAGGCTGTGAGGGGAGAACTAAGTCAGTTTGTTGATGATATGGTTGTTACAGAGCAGATGATTTCTACAATACTAGAGGTAACAGTTTTCATTTAAAGATCATTTAAAGAATCAACCAAACATAAGATTTACAACGGTTTTCTTAAAACCTTCGTCGATGATAAATTTTTTTATATAAAAATTTATAATTTTCAATTGTGTTTTTTTTTTACAAAATCACATGCGAATTTATGAAATAGAAAGAAATGAACTCGTTTAAGATGGAAAAGACAATATTTTCCTCTTTGTCGCTCAGATAAAGGTTTAAACTGTTTTGAATCGGACATGCCACTCATCCATTTTTAGATCACTTAAAATTACAATGAAAAACCCCTTTATGACAAAATATAGAATTTCCATTGTCCAGGTTCCTGTAACTGAGACACAGTTCTATGAACAGCTTCATATTCTCAACCACAAGATCGCATTTCTCAACGAGCAGAGCTTCAGGGACGCCAAGAGCTGTGTTGATGTCAAGGACGTCATCGAAAAACTGAAGATCAAGGCGGTGGCAAAAATACGCGAATATTTTATGCTAAAAATCAACCAGTTCAAGAAACCGCTGACCAACTACCAAATTCCACAAAGCGGTATTCTCAAGTTTAAATTCTACTTTCAGTTTCTGCAGGCTGTTAACAGGGAGGTGGCCAAAGAGATCAGGGATGAGTACACTGACACTATGTCTAAGATCTTGTTCTCATATTTCAAGTCCTACACAGGCCGTCTCTCGAAGCTGCAGTTTGAGGAGTCGGCTTCAAGAGATGATCTGCTCGGAGCAGAGGAGACATCGTCCAAGGGATTCTTCTTCAAACCCTCGTTAAAGAACAAGTCTACGGTGTTCAGTGTCGGATGTCGGGACGACGTTCTCAATTCCCAACTTGAAGCTCCCATCATCGTCCCCCATGCCCAGCTGAAGAACGAGATGAAATACCCCTTCGAGATGATCTTCCGGTCGGTGCAGTACACCCTCGTTGACAACGGTTGTCGGGAGTTCCTCTTCCTGTCCGAACTGTTCCTGGTGGACGGACAGAATGCGCAGGATCTGTTCAATTTTGTGTTCGGGAAAACACTGCAGATCCTGATCAAGTTTACAGATACATATGTTCAAGATAGTTATGATAGTATAGCAGTGTTCCTATGTATTCATCTTGTGCAAAGATATCAACTGCTCTGTCATAAACGCTGCGTTCCAGGTATTATTCATTATAAACTAGAATTAAATCGAAAATTTATATTAATATATATATATATATATATATATATTGTAATAATCAGAGCAGCTTCTCAGTTTTCATATTTATTAATACAAATTGTTCGGATTGCTACTTTTCAGTTAATAAACATGGTTAAACTGGTTATATATTATATATATTATATATATTTCCTCATAAGATTATCATATTATATATATGTTATTAAAATGTGATCTAGGATTAGATAAATACTGGGATACAATGAATGGAATACTTTGGCCTAGATTAACTCAGGTTTGCTCACTTTGCTAGTTGTATGAAAGCTTTGATTGATTGATTTATTGATTGATTGATTTTATAAAATTTCTCTTTGTTCAAAAGCTAAAGAAATTGCTAATTATGCTAAAGATTATTGATTGATTAGTTCATTACTTTACCAAGTTAAGTATTTTTCTAAAAGCATTTCTCACAAATTACCAATTATACTTTCCCAAATGTTTACTTTTCAAACTAATGATTTCCTATTTTCCTAGCGTGGATTGGTGTAATTATTGGTTGATTAATTGATTTATTGTGCTCTATTCAGCTACTGGAGTTGAATACACAATCAGTCCGAGATTGTGATGTATCTCGAATTAAACCTACAGATGTACGTCCGCACTTTATCACAAGGAAACTCGACTCAGCCTATCTTTACCATATACCCGGGACCAAATTTAATGAATTTGACTAATTCTAAATCACCGATTCTAGATAATTGGTTGAACCATCTCTAGACCTGGCTTAAACTTATTAAATCCGGTGGCCGGAGTTACCGTTCTCAGCTTAAATATAATGGTAGTGTCTATACTGGAGATAAAGATAATTTAAGGGATTTTGATCATGCTTAAACAGATTTAGTAATAAAAATTTAAAAAAGAAAATCTTATTTCTATTGTTTACTCAATCAAATGTTGACAAATATTTATTTTTAATACAAGGGTGATTTTCATAACCTATACACTATTTTTGCCAATATTTTGTTACAAAAACTTGTGTTTGAGTAAGGTTTTGTTAATTAGACGGTACGCTATAATATCACTATATTAAGTTATTAACTCGGAGTCTGGGGAAGAAAATTCGAAAGATATTTCCTTCCCTTTATCTCTGAATAGTGATATTATTACTTTCCCCAGTTTATTAAAGGAAAAAAAATCATGATTTTCCTAAAAATATTAAAAAGTTTTCCCCATTGCCTATGGTGAAGAGGAATCAGATATTTTAGAAAAGTTTCCTATATTTCCTTTATACTGAGAACTGAGTCTCATTTCCCAATGGTATTTTAAGTTCTAATGGAAGAGTATAATGATTATTGCGACTATCGATTACAATTAAAGATATAAATCTTCTGGGTTTTTGAGATAAATAATTTGCTCCCTCAGAGAAAGGGCGTTTACAAATGTCTTTCTCTTGGTCCCGGTACTTCGTTTCCTAAATCCCATTAATGCTCTCATCTCGCAGAGTATGAATGAATATGATTTATCGGCGTATCTATTTATTGATCTGAGTATATTTTATTCTTGTTGGATCAGTTTCTTATGTGTTTGTAGAGGCCCAAACTTCTGCTTGTTGCAGTACGTTAGCTCTCAGTCCGCTCTTCTAGCTCTTCTGAGGTTTCCGCCAATCCAGCCTCTGGTTTCCAGAAATCCAGCGGAAGCATGACAAACCATAGAAGATCATGAATTCGGAGCTGTTCCTCCATTGTTGCAATCCTCTGTCTAGTCTTGATATACATCCGATATGTTCCGTGTCAGTCTGAGCAGCTCCCTGGGATCCGGATTCCTCATTTAGCTGCTCCAATTTCGTATCTATCTAAGCAGCTTCTCAAACTCGATATCTCGCTTAGCTTCTTCATTTTAGTATCTATCTAGGCAGCTTCCTCAACTTGAGATCTCGTTTAGATTCTCTTGTTCAGTATCTCTTACACTGCAATCTGATGTGAGATGTATATTACCGCTCAGAACCGGAGATTGGATTGAAGGGTTTTCCAGTATACGATCATACTCTATATATTACATCATGCTTTAAGTATTACAAGAGAATTAAAAGAATCTTTAAGATCCTTTATTGTAGCGTAGGCATTACCTGACTGGACTTATAGACAACATAATGTCAAAGAAGACTTTTTCAAAAAAAAATTTTGATTATCATTATTTTTATCTGCTAGTTTTGGCTCACACAGGAAATTATGCAAAACCTTTTGAGGAAAAGTATCATACTTTTTTCCTTAACATCAATATCATGTGTTGCCCCCATTAAAAAAGCTTTAAGAATCTAAAAAAAAATCTTGAAGGGGATTTGGTTTTTGACCTTTTATGGGCACCAAAACACTCCAGTATACAACCAAAATACAAAAATTTTCTCCACAAGGGGGTCTCGGCCCCCCTGCAACCCCTCCGCACCAGAAAACTTCTTATGGTTGTGACTTCAGGGAAACAAACCATCCCTGGCTCGGGGTAAAAAATGTTGCAAAAATGACTAAATGGCAATAATAGCTAATTTGTTATAAAAAGCATAAAAAAACGTTACCCACCGGGGAAGGAAATTCAGGAAATAATTATGGGGGGGGGGGCAACA